CAACACCGCCAAGTTCTGCAAGGGCTGGATGCCAGACCCGATGATTTCACATACTTCTCGAACCTGCGCGTGAAGGACGGAGGTATTGGGCAAGAGTTAGAGAAAATTGAGCGATACTAGCAACACTTTTTCGTGGTATTTTGTGATTTCTATGCAAGAAAATTTGTGGGTAAAATTTTTACAAGAACAGCGTGATATTTATATATGTTTTACGGATGTTTCATGAGCTTGTGCATGAGAGAACTCATTTGGGATAAAGTAAGAAGGTAGCATGCTATTTATAATATCTGTTCATGAATATGCTAAGTGTATATGTAACTTAAATTAGTTATATGACATATGACTAATTCGTTCATATACTCTAATTCTACTTGATAAATAGCATTATTAAAATTAATTAATAGAAAACCTAAAAAGAAAGTCTACAAGAAAAATTAATTAAAATTTGAATCAAAAAGGACAGAAAGAAAAAGACAAAGTTTCATACCTTTGCTCTCTTAAGCAAATCTTTTGGAAGCAGCGGCTTCTGGGGGAAAGCCTCCTCAAGGTATTCTAAAATACTTATCTGAAACGGGAGAACTCTATAAATAAATAAATTAACTAAATAAACAAATCTATTTACCTGAAATTAACCCAATGCTGCTGGGGAAAATTAATAAAAAATGGGGAAAATGCTGAGCTAACTTTTTATATTTTTGTGAAATGTCTCTGCACATAGATGGCTTTGCTAGTACTCAGCCACAAAGGAGTCAATTAGTAGACCTTGAGACCTTACCTGATTTTTCCTTTCCTAGAACTGGTGGGGAAATGTATTTTTTGATAGTGCTATGAATATCAATGGTGTTATTTTTATCATAAACATTATAATTACTATAATGTTATAAAAACATTAGTAACAGCAAAATAAGATAACGTAAAATATTTATGTAAATCAAGGAAAAGGGCAAATGGGCGAGACAGGCAGTACTTGTAATTGGCTCACTGGTTACTTAGTACAAGTGTAGCCATCTATATGTAAAAAACAATTAACAAAGTAAACTCACAGTGGGCATGTCATGTATGTGCATGCTATGCCCATGGGTTAATTTCCCCCCCCTTTTTTCTTCTATTTCTTCTTTTCCACTTCTTAAAAATAAATAAATAAATAAACAAATATATTTACCAGGCATTAATTTTTTCCCCTATCATTCCTCTTCTACTTCTCTGTTTCCTTACAATAAAGCAGTCATAGATAACATGCATTTTCCTACTATGGCAATAAACCAGACAGACAGACACACACACACACAAAACCCAGAAGAACATGCATACATAGTAAACACATAAAACAGAAAAAACAGATTCTCGTAATAAGTAAAAACTGAAACTTACCGACTGCGTTAGTGTGTTTTCATTGACGATAAGAGCCGGCACTTGTCCTAAGGGGTTTAGTTTTTTGTATTCGTCGCTCACCTGCAAATGAAACGATTGATGAATAAAGACATAAGAATAAAAGAGATGATTTAATGTATAAATCCTGTTAATGAATGATAAATGTTAATATAATAAAAGACAGGAATAAATGTCATGTCATGTAAAAAAAAAAAAGTAAATAAAAGACAGGAATAAATGTATATTTTGAAAATTAATAAGTAAAAGGCACAAAAAATGTGTAAATCATACAAAAATCAATAATAAATAAAAAATAAAAGAATAAATGTGTAAATCACTGAAAAAAGCTGCAAATAAAAATAAAATATAGGTCATATTTGAAAAATAATTAGAAATTTACATTAATAACAGGAATACAATAAAAGTCATTAAAGTAAGGCAGAATCACACTAAATCAGTAATAATAATAACAATGATAGTAATAACTATAATAATAATATTAAGGATAAACTAATGATAATAATAATAATAATGATAATAATAATAATAATGATAATAATGATAATAATAATGATAATAATAATAATAATAATTACTATTATTATTATAATAAAAAAATAAGAACAAAATATCAGTAATAATAATAATGACAACAATCATTAACAATACCAACAGCAAGAACAATAATACCTAAATACTGTCAACTAGATTTGTCTGAGTTAAATTCTTTCAATTATTCCTTTGCTGTTAAAGGCACACCAGAAAAAGATAAAATGGATAAGAAGGAGAGATAAACAAAAATGCAAATATAAAAGAAAACTTATCATAAATACTGGAAAAAAAACAAAGAATAAGGAAGAAGTAGAAGAAAAAGAATATGAAGAAAAGAAACAGATGGTGAAAAATAAAATAAATAAAATGAAGAAGAAGAAGAAGAAAAAATTATTTTACCTGTTCCTGTTTCAGCAAATTTATTGCACGATATTCATAGTCCACTCCTTTATGGGCAAGAGCTGGAAGTAAAATCTTACAGTTAATATATAAGAAGGAAGAGAAAAAAAAAAATGGAAAAAGGATGCAAAAAACAACTATCTATTTATCTATATATAAATACATACATACATACATACATACATATATATATATATATATATATATATATATATATATATATATATATATATATATATATATATATATATATATGTATGTATATATGTATGTATATATATATATATATATATATATATATATATATATATATATATATATATATATATATATATATATATATATATATATATATATATATAAACACACACACACACATAATGATAAAAAAAATCTATTAGCAATATCTGGTAAATCTACAAACCAGCCATAAAATTTACACATTATGACAAAGCATTTATTTGTGGTACTAAACATTAACTCACCAATCCTAACGCGCCATGAACAGGAGCTCCGAAAGTAAGAGTAAAGAATTGGCTGTGGATAAAGAGACTGTTATTAATTTTTCTGCTACTTAATAATTGACACAAAAATGTAAGAGAAAATTTATATCATTTTCCCCTGTCTTTAGGTGCAATGTTCAACTCCAGTGTTTGTTAATGAAGTAACCTTTTCATTGTTGCAATCCTTGAAAATCTTGATTGATTATTTTTCCCACTTATTTTCTTCATATATAGTATTCTGTGTGTGTCTGTTGGAGAGTTCATCATTACTTTCCTCCTATCCTGTTTCAAACATAGTTCATTAGTAATCTTCCAGACTCAAATTACTTAAAGTAATACTAGGCCACTATAATCCAGAGAAGATTAGCAGACTTCTCCCAAATATATTTGTGACCTTGAACCATTTCTTCATTTGACAAGTAAATGCCACCTGGGATGTTTACAAGCCCTGTCTTATCAAAGTCTACATTCGGGGTCATCGGGTACTTTCTGGGGGGTCATGGAGCAATATGAAAATTATAACTGCAGTAAAGAGGATTTTGTATCACCTACTGTATGTATTGATTGTTATCTCTCACATATCAATAAAGTGGGATCTTTCCATATAGTGTTTTTGTCTTATAGGTATTGGCACCTTTACACTATTCATAACTAGAAGTGGCTAATGTTACTAACAGCAATGCACAAAGATAAAGGGAAATAGACAATGCTAACTTAAAGAGCATAAGAAATATAGTAAAAAACAACATCAGTAAAGTTGCAGCAGCCTCATATTTAAAATGACGAAAATATCCACTGTATATCACCGCTCAGAAACTACATCCACAACACCCTCACACAGCCAGTTTCTGTAATTTGGCACAAAGTGCTAATAAAGGAAGGGGAACAGGGGGCTTGCCCCCTACCTTGGGAATGAATAGAAGGTAGGAATGGTTAGGTTTGGATTTTGATGTTTGCATGATAGCCTAGTTTCAGGACCCTCTCTGGAGGTGCATTAGCCCTAGTAATGACTGAATGACTGCCACTGAACTGCATGATATCACTGAAATTACTTTAAATATAAATTCATGAATCATGATAGCAATTTAGGTTATGCCATTAACCTCTGCAGATTCCCATATTCAAATCTAATACATACAATACGTATTCCCCTTGGTCATTAATTTTCTCTATCCGTCCTGATCCCTCACACATTTTTGCAGTTTCTTGGACGAGCCACTCGGCCCGTAATATACCATGTTCATTTACGTATAGAATGCTATTATGTAATATCACCATTAACTGACGTTGGCGAAAGTACGGCGCAGTATCGCGACAAATAAACACAGAATCTAATCAAACTCCAGAAACTTTAAAAAACTAAAGAATAAAATGTTTCCTTACACGAAGACTCATCTCTGAACGTAAACAAACAAGTCACGTGATGTAAACAAACCCACGTGCTTCTCGAGGGCGAATCGACTGCTTTGTTTGTTTGTTTTTTTTTCGAATTAGTGTGTTCGGCTCCGGAATCCGAATGATGGTAATACGGTGTATACGAACATGTTTCGTTGTATTAAAAAAGAACTACAGTTAACAGCGCAATGATAATAATGCTACGTCTGCTACTGGTGGTGGTGCTACTGACTCTGCTATTACTACTACAACTAGTAGTAATACTATTATTGCTACCACCACAAATAAACTATGCGGGGTAAAGGGATTAATTTTGCGCGCAAATTGTGTTGCCTTTCATTTTACTGGATACTTGCTGGTTCCGAAAAATCGACTGAAATGACAAAAAAAGAAAGAAAAAAATAGCATATTACCTATCCGAATAACGAAAATTTTGTTTTAATTGCTAGAGAGCAGGTTCACGCTTGTCTTTCTTCATTAAATATACTATTTGTCATCTATGTAACAATTTAATTTTCTTAAGGAGGGGACTTGATGTGACAATTTCAAACACTGAAAGTAAGGACTGGATTTCAATGACACCATGAGTGATTTTATCATTAAGAAAGCACTAAAGTGCTATACTATATTTAAAATTAATTATTTGAACAGGATAAAAAAATCATCTCCAACATCATCAAGGTCCACGAGGTACAAATATATTTGGTTGGGGAGAAAATAATGTATGTACAGCACGCATTAATGAATCACCCGGAGGCCCGACACGGCTCTCGTCGCTACTGACTACCACTACGCCTACCACCACCACCAACAATACTACTACAGCGCTACTGCTAATATAGTTATACTGCTACTACAGTACTACTGCTACTACTACTACTTTACTACTACTTATAATATCAATAATGGTGATACTACTACTACTAAAGATAATAATCTTAATGATAAAATCAGTACTTCTACTACAACTACTTATACTAGATGATGATAATGATGATGATAATGATGATGATAATGATGCTAATGATGATAATGATGATGATGACGATGGTGTTGGTGATAGTGATGTTGATGACGACGATGGTGCGGATGAGCATATTATTAACAATATTAATAACATGAATAATTATGATAATGAGAATGATTACCGTAAAGATAATGAGAGTAATAATAACAATAAGCATTAGAGCAACACTTTTAATAACAACAGTGAATATGACAGCACTTGATTAAGAAAATAAAACGTGAATAAATAATAGCATTAATAACAGCAACAATACCAACAGTGATAATGACAAAGATACCACCACTACCACAACTGTCATAATTGCTAATAATGACAATCGAAATGATAAAGATACCAAGAACAGCAATATGCTAATGGTAGTCACTGACGATAAACCAACGAAAATTATTATTTTTTGGTAAAATATGAAAAATAATGGTAATAGCTACATAATAATAATAATAATAATAATAATAATAATAATAATAGTGGGAATGGCATTACTACTAAAGCAACAATTACTTCTGCTGCAACTAACATCACTACTCCTGACAACGGTAATAACAATGACAAGGACAAAGGCATTAATAATGATAACAAAGATGATGATGATTATGATAATAATTACAAATATAATGACATCAATAATAATAATAATTATAATAATAATAATAATGATGATGATAATGATGATAATAATAATAATAATAATAATAATAATAATAATAATAATAATAATTGGTAATGATAATGATAATAATAATGATGGTAAGGATGGTTATGATGATGTGATGATGATAATAATGACGATGATGATAATAATAATAACAATAATAATAATGATACTAACAACAATATTAATAATAATAACAAAAACAACAACAACACTAATAATAATAATAATAATAATATTAACAATAATAATAACGACAACAACAGTAATTAGTATAATAATAATAACAATAGCTATTATGATAATAATAAATATAATAGTAGTAAAAAGTAATAATGATGATGATAATGGTGATGATGATGATGATGTTGATGATAATGATGATAATAATGATAATGGTAATAATATTAACATTGTTATAATGATGTTATTATTATTATAATAATAATAATATTGATAATAACAATAACAACAAAAACAGTTATGATGATAATGATAATAATATTAATGATGGTGACAGGAATAATAAAATAAAAAAATACTGATAGTGATTATAACAACAACAATTATAATGATAGAGACAATACTTCAAGTTACTATACACAAATAATATTATGAAAAGAGAGAGAAAAAATACACATAATGATTAACAATTAGGGAGTGAGGAGTGAGGTGGAACCTGCCTCAGCAAGTTGTATTCTGGGCGACCTTGATAACACGTTGACTCCTCTGAATTATAAAATATATATAATGCGATAGTTTATTGTGGTTTATCTTCATGTAAATAATAAAAAAACCTTGAATGATAATCTAAATTGACTTGGATGAAGAATCACTGTGCCATGTATGTTATTGTAATATGTCATCTATACATCTCTATTATATATGAATTTCCTGATATTATATTTCCAAAAGTCCACACAGTATAAGAAATTCCACATAACCTACATTCTATACAACATAATTACAAAACGTATTTCTAAATTCACAAAGAAAATAAAACACATAAGTACATATACCTTAGAAGAACTCATTTTATGCTACTTCGCTGGCGGTCTGAGTCGACTGCTTTGCGCCTGGCAACTGATCGCGCAGCCGGTTATGGCCACTTTGCGCAGGAGGTCTTTGAGATGGGGAGAGGTGAGTACTTTGTGTTTAATTCTTGGGAAGAGAGAGTATTTATGAGGACTGTGGTATTTTACGAGGTGTGTTTGTTACTGTGAAAGATTCTGTGTAAACTGTCATGGTGTGGGAGTGTTTGCTTTGGCGTATATGCATATTTTCCTCCGTTCTTGTTCAGTATTAATGTAGCCTGCTCGAAGGCGTTTTGGTTGGTAACTATTAACACTGTTTTCATATTCAGCATCTGATACAAAACACTATTATTCAGGAAATCATAAGATAAAGTAATGCAATATATCAGTACATCCATCACTTCACAGTCATTCTTTTAACAGCAGTTAAAATACGATACGAAATGTGTAATTGTTAACTCGGGATGTATGGCCAATAGCAGACTAATATTCTGTGGGTGTGCTGCTTCTCTCCCTCTCTCTCCCTGCGGCAAATTTGACACGAATTCCACTGCCATAGGTGGTTATATTTCGTGTGATGCTTAGCAGATGGTGTTTAAACTCCTTTCTTCTGCTCAAGAACTCACAAAGGAGAACTCGCAATGTAAATAGTTTGTACGTTTATTTGCTGATATGATTACACAGAAAATAATCGCATCCCCTTCTCCATTTAATGATATATCTATTGTTCTTGGTATCTTACTTGATGCGTGTAAGTATGACGTATTTTTAGATAAATAAAATCCTTCAGTCTTTTAAGCAATCATGAACCAATATAATGCCTTCATATTTCCCCAGCTAGAAATTATGCCTAAGGTGAATAGTTTATTGTATTTTACATAGCCAGCAACACATATTTCATCTGACGTAGCTGTTACAATAATAGCATTGGTTATTCGTTAGATTTTATTCTGGCAACTGGATAATAAGAATATATATAAACTACTAGATTTTAGAACCCAAGAATTGCTTTTGCGAAGGTATTCCAAGTGTTTACTTTGCTCTTACTAATTCTGAATGTTGTTTACAAAATTAGAATTTGAATCAGTAACAAGAACTACTTTAATACATATATGCATACTATTATCAATGTATATATATTTCTGTAATTTCTTGAAATCACCCGTGCAGTGCAATTATTATCTATGAAGAATAAACATTCTGGAGAGCAAATTCCATGTTAATGTATTTAATTTAATTTACTTTGTACGGTTATGCTTCCACAACAGATAGTCGTCATAATTATCTGCTGACGTCTGTTATTTCCTAAATGTATATTTAGCTGTTCATTCGTTTATTGCTCACCAATGGTTATCAATATTTCATGGTTGAATAACTAATAAGATAAAGTCCTCTTTTTAAGATTTATCGAAGTCATAAGGCATGCTGAGCACAAGATATGTATTGGAAGCACAAGGCAATGCAATTAAAAATGTAATTAATAACGATTGTTTATAAAACTCGACTGTTATTAAGCCCAAGACTGTTCTTTTGGATTATCCATAGCTGAAGTAAAAATCATATAAACACGATTTAATGAACATATGTTCCATGTACAAAATAGTCTTTCCCGACACATCTGTTTTGCTTAATACAAACTTGGGTCAGATACTGATGTAGTGAACTTTACATCCAAATATAACATAGACTTCCATGGTAAAAAATAATATTCTAGCAATATATATTGGTGTGAAGCATTGATTACACGTTCAGTGGGACTTATAATATTCTACAAATATCTAGTACATATCTGACCTGTATGAAGAAACTCAGTGAACACGCCCATCCTTGCCCAGCCACCCCTTTGAACTGTCCTGTGCCGAGGCCTTTTCTGACCTCGTTTTCTTTCAATTAAAAGAACATTTTTGTTATCTTCACTAGCAGTTATCTAACTATAAATGTATAGAAAGCGCTTTAGTTTTGGAATATACTATACTTACGTAATAGGCACATATTTGATATAGTATTCAGTTATGTCTATATAATGGAGTATATAGACACACGGTAATAACAATAATAATAATGTTATTTCTTAAGATGGATATATGATGATTCCCTTCCGTTTGATAACTGACATTTCAGATACTGACAGACTCGGTTTTCAAGTATATTATCAGGATCAAGAGACTTTTAGCCTCATAATTTCTCTTGAGATATTTAGGAACAGTAGAGAGACAATTAGCGTTTTTCATCACCCTCAGAAAATCAAGACTAACCTTTCTAAAGGTCATCATATCACACAAGAAACGCCTTAAGGAAGACTATGTCCCTCTGTGACCTATAGGCATAATGAAGAAAATCAGATTGAGAGAGAGAGAGAGAGAGAGAGAGAGAGAGAGAGAGAGAGAGAGAGAGAGAGAGAGAGAGAGAGAGAGAGAGAGATGAGAAGCAATAGACCCCCCCCCCCAAAAAAAAAAAAAAAAAAAAAAAAAAAAAAAAAAAGCCAGACCAGTAGACTTTTATCTAGCTACGCCCTCAAGAACGGTTCCCAGTTCAAGCAAACCTGACTCTCCCTCACCAACCTCTACCACTGTTACTTGCTAACTGTATACATCACATTTTCATTACGTTTATACAGCCCAGTTTGACGTTAGCTGAATTGTATTTCGCAACAAGTTATGTAACATGATTTTGTCTCATGAAGATACAGTACACAACCAATTCAAGAACGAAAAACAAAATTAATAACATGACCTGTTCTTTAGTTGGGAGTTTTGTGTACGTAAGGTATAGGCTTTGGAGCGAATATTATGAAACAAGTCTAAAGTGTTTGATTGTTGGGTGTGTTTTGGTTCGATTAACAGTCCAGGTTACGACAAATACAGCATGACTTAAAACCAAGCGTGAAATAATCATGAAAGGTTTTAAAAACGTTAATAAAATATAAATTCCGTCATCATTGATATTTTTTCTTCTCTTGCGCATCCCCAGCGATCGCATCACGCACGTCGGTCGCACAGCGCACGCCTCAGTTTGCGAACCGCTGATCCTGCGACGGCCTATAAATAACAGCGCGCCAACCAGGTACGTTTCATACTGGAGCTGCTGTCGATATTGTACTCATAGTCCGAAGATGTAAGTTAAATTGCAAGTGTCCTCCAGGTCGTCGTATGTCTAGTTAACACAGTTTGATTTAGTTTAGTTTTTTCATAGGCCTATTCACATGGTTTGTCGAGGAGAAGGTGCACTTGAAATAATCCACTTAATATCTGATACGTTGGTTAAATGAGCCAAAATTATGTCATTTTGTCAAAATGCATTCAGCTAATTATTATCTTATGTGTATCTTCACATTGCTAAAATGAAGGATAACAACTTGTATTGTATTATACTATCATAATTGGCATAACTGTGCAAATGTTAACCTGTGAAATCATATTTTATTATAGGATTTTGTGGGCGATGTTGCTGTTAGTATCTTCGTCGAACGCAGCTTTAGGGCTGGACAGTTACACTACGGCCAACACCCTCCAGAATCTCCTCGGGACCTTCCTACAACATGTTCAGAATTATTTCCCTGGATGCACTATGATCATCTTTCATGACCCGTCCATCGCGTTCGACTTCGCAGTTACTAAGAATTCAACTTTATTCGAAGAAAACTCTGATAAGTCTTCGGGTTTCAGTGAAATTCACCAAGATGCAAATAATATTTTAGATTTTGTTCTCCAGCTGGTGCAAGATATACCATCTATGATATTCAGTCTGACAGATGACCTTCAAGAGGTGCTGACTCGGAAAGATATAAACTCAATCACGCGATGTCCCTTGTATATTACTCTCGCCCCGAACATCACGGTAGCTCTCGGGCTCTTCCTAATGGCCAATAAAGATTGGGACAAGTATTTCATGTCGAGGAAACAGGTGATACTAACCCAGAGTTCGGCCAGGGACATCGAGTCGTTTTTCCAAGAGGGAGAAATCAACCTTATGACAAATGTGTTGCTCATTCAGCCCATCCTGAAACCCTTGGCCCTTCGTCTGCTTACCAACACGCCCTACAGCCCCGGCAGAAGTGATCGAGTGAAGAGTTTGAAGACGTGGCGTGGGGAGCCGATGCCTCATGAGCACGAGCTGTTTCCCGACAAACTGGTTGACCTGCATGGGCATCCGATGAGAGTGGTGACCTTCCACTTCCCTCCGCGGATTTTCATGGAGGAAGACTCCGACGGCAACTATAATTTATATGGCGTTGATATAGAGGTAAGTCGTAAAATCAGTCATTAATTTAGATCATACGTTCATTGTTTGCCCTTTGTTGATGAAGATAAGCATCAATCCCTTCCAGATTTATTCTTTACTTAAATGTCTATTTTTCATCGCAGGTCGTGCGTTCTCTCAGCAAAGCCTTAAACTTCACGGTGAGCTTCGTGCGTCCCTCCGACGGCGAGATGTGGGGCTGGGAGCAAGGCAACGGCACCTGGACGGGCCTCATGGGGGACCTCCAGCACCGGAGGGCGGACATCGGCGTGGCTGACCTGTACATCATGGAGCCGTATTTCGCCATCATCGACATGTCAGTGGCATACGACATCGAGTACCTTTGTTTCGTCAATCCCGTGCCCGGGCCGCTACCCCAGTGGATGGCTTTGGGGCTGCCCTTCCTGGTGGAGACTTGGGGCGCCATCTTCTGCACCGTCTTAGTGGGCATGCTGGTGTTCACCCTCCTGGCGCAGATGGGCTTCCTCGGGGGGCACCTGCACGAAGCCCCGTGGTTTCAGAGCGGCAGCAACACCTGTCTCCTTCTCGTTGCCTGCGTCATGAACACCGCCTGGACGCGCGTCCCGACGACGTCCCACCTCCGGATCTTCATGGCCCTGTGGAGCCTCGCCTTCGTCATCCTAGCGGTGGCCTACAAGGGCTCCCTCGTCTCGTACTTGACGGTGACACTCGAACAGCCTCCGATTGACACGCACAAACAGCTGTTGGAGAAGGGCGTGAGTGTCGGCAGCATCGGGGACACCCTCAAGCGGATTATGGAAAAGAATGCAGACCAGTATGTGCGAAAGCTGGCCCAGGGGTACGAGCAGGTGCCG